GGAATGGCTGAGCCTTCATGTTTAGCGGGAAACCCCAACAGCCAACCAAACAAACCAACACACAGAACATCTATGTGACAGGATGGGAGACGACTGGAAGAGTCCAGCTTGCAGATTTCTTAAGGTTCCCTCTGGCTTTTAATCGCAGCACACAGTTGTTTCAGCGATGGGGAAAACAGCAACAAGTAACTGAATTTTGAGCCGAACATATTTTTAGCATTGTTGATCTCAGATGTCAGAGCTTTGGCATTCAGAGGATTAGTGTGTCATTCACATCACTCAAACTCTGGCACACCAAGCCTAGATACTGATGCTACGATTCACTTCGAATAAAACTCATCACTCATTCGGACTCAATAGAGCCACACACCCCTCCGCAGTCACACAAACAACGCTCCCACCGCTTTCGGAAGAATCGCTTCCATTTAAATTGATGCAAGGGAGCAAAACGAGCACCAAGCAGAGCAAGGCTTGACCGCCAGGACTTGAGGCAAGATTCATACAGTGAGCAGCAATCGCAGAAAAGCTCTCCAGGCTGAAAAGCTTCACATCAAGGAACAGGCGACCATTTCAGTTCCCCATTCAACACACCCACAGTAAAAGCTACCCCCACTGTACACATTCAACAGCATTACCTGTGCCAGATACACAGAAAACAGGTAAAGAATTAAAACTCCTCACGATATGTGGAGCAGCAAAGCTAGTGTGTGTAGATTTGTGTTGAGGGGAACGGGAAAAGCAAACGTATTTGTATGTGCACATGCAATTTTTAAAGTCTTCTGAATTACAAACACATATCAACACTCACACTTTCTGCCCATCAAAAACTGGGCTTTAGATAACCTGAATTTTCTTTGCTTTTCCCTGAAAGGTTGTGTTTAAATGGGCATTTTCCTCCTTGGCATTCACCCTCTGAGAGGATCCACGTTCCAGATATTAATAACAACATTTAAGCACAACAACAAGCTGCAACGTGCCCTTGTCTTCACACAGCACTCTCACAGCGCACTCCTCTGCAGCGCTTTACGGGCCGTGCAAACTGGGATCGCTCACCCAGCGCTCGCAGGCAGCGCGTGAGGCAGGCGCCCCTTGCCAAGCGGGCAACACCCACAGCCTTCTGTAGAGCAAAAATATTTAGTTTCCCCCCACATGGCAAAGTATCACTGAAGCAGGCAGCGGCACTGGAATGTGGGCAAGACTGCAGACAAGAAAACCTCGGCTCGTTTGAAGAGAGCCTGGGGAAGGCACCAGGCAGAGATGCACCAGAGTCTGAGCCGCGTCTGGGGCAGGGGAGAGGCTGCCAGCCCTGACTCATCGGCAGGGCTTCGTCAGGAGCCCAGGGCTCGGGGGCTTTGGGGAGAGCTCCTGACCCAGTCCCAGCCCTGCATAACTTCAGAGGTACAATGAAATCACTGTCCCGCGTGCTATTGCCCACGCCTCTGATGTCATGGTCTGTTGCCATGGAAATGCCAGTGATGCTACAACGCAAAGCTCTGACCTTACCGGGGAAGTGAAAAGGGGTGGTTGGGTGAAACAGCAAGTGCTGCTCTCCGGAAGTAAACAGCTTTTCCATTGAAATAGGGAGAAATTCTGCTTCTTGCTTCAGTAGGAGAGGACTGACCTCCCCTGCTCCCAGCCAACTTGGCTAAGGCAGGCTGGGGTTTGGAATCTGCTTGAGGAAGGGGCAGACCTGAGCCAACAACCCAGCTTCCACAGGCGAGCATCCCAGGAGTTTGGTTTTGTAAACAATGTCAAGCTCCTGCCTTTGAGAGGGGCAGCAGAGGAGGGGGAGAAGTTGCTCCCCAGCAGCCCAGCTGCTTTCTCTCTGCATTTGCAGAGACCAGTAAGAACATGGAGCAGCCCAGGGCATGGGAATTGGTCCAGGCATCGGCTCCAGGCAAATGGCCCCAGCAATACCCACGCTTCTCCCTGAGCTGCCAAGGTGAGCTTGGTTAGAGTGGCAGGAGCTGAGGACAGCAAACCACGCAGTGCTGGCCCCCTGCCACACTGGAGATGGCAGGGAGTAGCCCTGTGGCCCAGCAGCTGGGTTCCCCAAGAAGGTGAGAGGCCACGGCACCCCCTTACAAGAGAATAATTACATGACAGATCACCCTAGCAAAGGTGTTTTTCAAGAACTGAAGCAGCTTTGAAATCTTTGTGCAGACGCCCCAAAGGTACAGCTTCACACCCAAGGTTGTGCCACCTTCAAGGGTTCACCCATCCTTGCATATTGCATCCCAGAACACAGGCTGAAATACTCCTGCAAAGGACTGTCCTCTCCACTGCTTTTCTGATGGACATCCCAGCAAGCAGCACAGCAGATTCAGCACAGCTCCTCTGACACCCCTCCGCATGTGCAGCCACAGTGCCTCCCCACCTCCCTTCACTCCCAGCATTTCCCAGCCTGAGGTTTCACTGCTGAATCATCCTCTGATTCAGTACCAGAAGATCCTTCCTGTTTGACAAGGGGTTAAAAGAAAGTGAGCTTCACACCCAGGCAACGCTGGCACCTCCTCAAGTTCTCAGTCAGCTTTACTACCAGCAAACAGCCTACTCCCCTGTGTCACTCAAGTCCTATGACTAGGGAGTCCTACCTCCAAGCCCCCCAGGATCCCACCCAAACTGCCTCCAAG